CCGCGGCCCGGGCCACCCCGCCCGGCTCTGGGCTGTGCCCCTCGCCTTCCCCATCTCCAGCCGCTCGCTATTTTCACACCTCCTAGTGCCCCGGCCCCGGCGCCCGATTCAGTGCTTAGTAATTAATTTGGCGTTTCAGAATGGTCAGCGGGCTGGATAATGGGCGCATTCATCCCCCGGGCTAATCTGAACAGAGGTGGGAAGAAAGGCTTTCACAGACAGAAAATGCCATTCGCCGAGCGCTCAAAGGGGCTGTCACTCCCAGAATAAATCGCCGCCGCGCCCGCCGGCTCCTCGAACCGTTTCCATACAGCCGGCCCGCGCCGCGGACCCGCCGGCCTCCGCCCGCGCCCGGGCATCCCTCACTCGAGGGCCTTCGACGGGAAAGTCGGGCAACGGCAGGACCCAGGCGGGGCCCAGGCGCACCGGGAAACGGGAAGCTCGGGTGAAGGCCGCAGGGGGCGGGAGGACGACAAAGAGATTGATTAGAAACTCAAAAGCTGAACTCGAAGGAGGCGCCGCTAATCTAAGGCGCGGACGTTGGAGCCGGAGCTCCGGGCTGGTCCAGACCCCGGGGTTCGTAAAAGACCCAGAGGCGTAGCTATGGCTCCTGAGGTCACACAGCGAGCTCCGGGGCTTCCGCGTTGTGGGTGGAATGCGACACACAGCGTAGGTGGTAGAAGCAGGACCCGGCTGGTGCACCTCCGACCAGCGCCAGACTTCTCCTTCTGGGTTCTTTAGGATATCAGCTCCTTTGCCCTAAGCGCCTGGGAGGTGCCGCTGGTGCCTTCAAGGTTCTCCCAACCCCGGGAGCGTTAGCTATCAGGTGACTGGCTTTATCCTTTGACAGCTTCTCGACCTGGGATGGCCTAGAGTGTGGGACACACATGGCCTGCGGGACCTGAATGCTGATGCCTTTCCCTGGTGGCGCCCCCGGCTCTCTGGTGGAACCGGGTCTTGTGCTCCAGTAGTAGCCCGAACCCTGTGGACTTGGCATCGACCAGAGCCCCTGCGGGTTGTGGAGCCTCGCGGAGGGCAGGGCTGGCTCGGCTCTGTGCAGAGTGAAACTCCTGGAACTTGATTTTCGTGCAGTCGGGCCTCACCATGGTCTCACCTCTGGGTCCTTCTGCTTAGCACTACCTTCCCCTTGGGGGAAGGGGCGGGGGTGTGGCTCTGAGTCCAAATCTTGGCGCTTTGAGAGGCTACAAGGGCAGGGAGAGCTGCTACAGAGAGAGAGCAGTCTTGGAAAGGGCAGATGGGTGTTCCAGGGTGTGTAGAGCAGACGGAATCCCACACCACTCACCGACTTCTGAGTGGAAGTCACTCCTCCCGGCTGAGGCTCAGTTTCCTCATTTGCAAAACAAGGATAAAATGAGATCACATTTGGCCCTAAGTGCTGGAGGCTCTCAGTAGGAGGATCCCACACCCTACTCACACCTCCAGCCGCCAGTCCCGCCCCACACTCCCCTGGCATCTCTCCAAGTCTTCACCAACACCTCCCCTCGGAGTGTTAGTGACCCAGTGTTTTCTCTCAGGATGCCTCCACCTACTCCTCGCTGCTGGTATCCAGCAGTCCTTAAACGGTACTAAGACCTGAAAACTGCCTTTCAGAGATGCTAGGACCATTATACAGATGGCAATGCTGAGATTCTAGAGCCATTACACAAGTGGTGATGTTGAGACCCTAAGAGACTTGCTGGTTTCACCCAGCTAAGTAGTGGGCTTGGACCAGACCAGATTTCATCAGAGTATGGCTCTCTGCCCAGCAGTCTCCCTTCTTCCGGGCTGATGGTTCCTGCCTGTTCTTCACGATACCTATTTAATCAGTAAAAGTCTTTTCTGCTACCGCCCCAGATGGGCAGCCATAGTGGTTGGAGTCTAGTTTAGGAGATCCCCAAGATCTCCCAGAATGTGTAGTCAGTGAGGGAGCAGCAGCCGGTGAGCTAAGCATCCTGCCAGATGAGGAACGGCCTAAGTGGGCTGTGGGCTGGCTGGACGTTGAGCCCCCAAACAGGGGGCCTCCTCATACCAACATGCTTTCACAGCTGGACCTAACACTGCATACCGCTGGCCCCACACAGACAGAACAAATGTGCCCAGAGGCCCCCTGAGCAAGGCAAACCTGTCCACACCAGGGACAGAGCAGCCAGCCATAAGGGGCCCTGTGCCAGCAATAACCCAGGTGCAAGCTGTGGCCCAGAATACCCAGCACCTGCCCATTCACCACACTGGGGCTCAGAGCAAAGAAGGCGAAGAGGTGGGAGGGGGGGCAGAGGGAAAGTCGGGAAGTGGGAAAGAAGGCAGGCAGGGGGCTGAGAAACCACGGAGGATGGGGGGGGCGGGGAGGGACAAGCCCCTATTTATGTCAGCCATTTGTAGCTGTGGATTGTAAAACTGGGCAGGATCCTCTGGAGTAATTCATAGTGTTTGGACAAGACAAACATTGTTCTGCTTTAAACAAACCTCCAGAAAGGTCAACTTGGTTCATCCCTTTGCTGCGAGTAGCTGAGACTATCCAGATGATGAGAAAATCAGATCTTAGCAGAGGGGGCCCAGACAGGAGGCAGTGGTCTCCTCAGCCCTTGGGATGCTGGGAGATGACACCCAGTGTGGGGAGGGCCCGTGTCTCCCCTTGAAAAACGTGGCTCCCACTCTTGAGCCAGAAGACATGGGTTATATGTGTGCACAGCTTCACAGGTTATGGGAATTTGATAACGCCAAGGACCATCCAAATTCTAGGGCAAGGCCAACATGACCCATAACAGGAGTTTTCTTTATTCAAGTGAAAGATTGATGGGAAATGAAGGTTGATGGAGGAAAAACTGAACTAGACCCACTAACAACATGCCCAGATAGGGTCCCAGACACACAAAAACCATCTTCCTTACATTGAGATGCCCCGGGCTCATCTGTATTCGTGCAGCAATATTTTTTGAGTGCCTACAGTTACAGAGTTGTGTCAGGTGTTGGGCCCACAGTCTACTTTGTCCTCCTCCTAAGAAGCAGAGCTGCTCACAATTTCATGGCCGGCTGCTCCACTGCCCTCATTGCATCACCAAGCCCCAGGCCAAGCCCCAGCACAACAGGTCTGAGTGAGGCCTGACATTTGGCACAGTGCTCAGTGTTAGCTGCTACTGGAGTTAGGATTGCGAGGATGACTCCCCACATAGGTGATCTACCTGACCCCCCCCCCCCCGCTGAAGTGGATACTTTTTATTAATATTTAGTAAACAAGCTCCCTGTCTTTTAAAATTATGATTCCTTAGTAATATATCTTTGCTGCTCATTAATACCAAAGCCCAATATGTTGGTAGTGTCCTTCATCCATGTCCTGTTCAGGATCTCTAGTTGCCCAGGGCAGTTTGTCGTCCTCTCAAGATGGTTGTACTCTTAGTGATGGCAATAGTGCTGGCTTTGCTGGCTCTACATACCTTAATAAAAATTGCTTAGGATCTTGGGTACTTCAGGGTCTTTTATATATGATTTTTTTATTCGTTACTCCTCATATCCATAGAAGGAAGGAAGGAGAAAAGAGGGAAGGAAGGAAGGAAAGAAGGAAGAAAAGATACTGTTCACATATTTCAGAAGAGGAAGTCAATGCCAGAGAGGCCAGTGACTTGGCCAGTGTCGCAGATATGTCAATGCAGGGGATTGATGCCCAATCCAGACAGTGTTCTTGGGTCTCTTGGGCCTGCTGACCTCCCACGGAGCTCCCTGGGCGACCTCATAAAGCAGGTGCTCAGCCAGAGACTAGGAAGTGGCTCCCTAAGTGAGGTCACACCCATCCAAGCTGTGTGTAGTCTCTGGCGTCATTCAGGGGCTGGCACGGTGGCACTTCTGCCTGATGTCAGTGTTCATGAGTCCGGGAGAGGGCCCCTCCTGCCGCCCAAATCCTAGTTTCCTTTGACACCTTATTATGGTCAACTAATCCACATGCTTGCTCAATGTGTTTGGACTCAGCGATCCATGTCTGCTGTTATCCTGCACTGCCTTTTGGAGTTAAGTCTCTAAATTTTCTTCCTATGTGAGGCATAAACCAGTAATGCTTCATTTTACTGACATTTGGGGAAAATAAGCTGCCCCACATAAATGATTTTTGCAATCAACAAAAACTTATTCCTTTAACCTGAGAAGTTTTTTGTGTAATCATTTTTCATGAAAAGTATTTTTTCCACTTTTTTTCAAAATCATGACTTTTTTTTCTCATCTAAGTTAGTAGAATGGAATATAGTGGGTGTTGCCCAGGTTGGGCTGAATGGGTAACCCACAGCCCGTTTCAAAGCCTCACAGCCAGCTTTGGGGACATCAGCTTTTGAGCAATTTGATAAACGTCCTTGGCCTCAGTTTCCTCATTTGTAATCTGATGAGTACAGGATGGAGCCCTCTCTAAGGGCTGCTTCCATTTTTGTCTCTCTCTGCTGTCGTCTGACATAGTAATGGCCTTGAGAATTAGGAGGTTGCTGGACCTGTACTGCACCCTGGGAAAGGGTGGGACAGATTCTACTGTCATCTGTCACCAATT